ATGTACATTGGCTATTGAGACGACTCTATAGCGCAAGCATGGCATTGCTAAGTAAATGTGTTAAAATTGTCAGATCAAATAAATATAGAGTGCAGTCACTGTCCTTTCCGTGGTGTCCAATTACTTCACATTGGTAGTCCTTGATATTGACGGGGCCCGCAAAACTTTTGACATTCAGTGATCTGCCTGCTAAATAATTTAGCTTGGCCTCAATGACAATCTCACAAAAACTACAGGTCTCATATTTTTTGTGACGGATGGAACTAGGGAGCACTGTATAAATATTTCGTCTCTTCAACGGTGCGCACCGAACTCAGGGCCCAAAGATAATATTCCCATAGGTCTATGAGAATCTATTAGAGAATTCGTTTATGTTTGTCTTCCCCTATGGTCATCAACTTATTCTCTCCCCACATCTATAGTTTATTCTGTTGCTGAATGTATCTACGCATATTCGGTTTCTCCTCTAGAATATTTGAGATCAAAATTACTTTATTGTCTAGTTTTTAAAATGTAGTCAATTCTTCAAATTTTTTTGGGTTCGACTACCGTTCCACGCGTGTCTTACCTAACATTTAGGATTCTAGGACAACCGTATTGGGTATCTGACTGATCGACTTGCTCCAGGTTATTTTATTGAAGGTTTGTTGTTTCCGTACAGTTGGATTCTCGATTCGCAACTATTAATTGAGGGATATTTTTATGCCTTTCGGTAGAATGTTGCTCCTGAGATAATAGGAACCGTCTTACTTCTTATCACCCTATCTTAAATGCAAGATATTATGACAATGACCGCACCTGTTGGAGAATGTGTCATTCAGCTATTGGCTGCTTCATTTTCAATCATGTTTATCGATTTCAAATGGTTCAAACGGTTGTGGACGTAATAGAGGCTTTCGCTTAACGGACTTCCGTGTCTAGTAGCAGTGGATTACCTGTACTTCCAGACAGGAACCTAGGTATATTATCGATAAGAGGTGAAAAAAAAAACTTGGTAAATCATAATACGATGTTATCCTTAGTCCTTAAGAATAGGTCAAGAATTCTCTTAAAGGACTCCTGGGAAGTGGCTTGGACTAGTTCAGTCGACAGCGAATTCCAGCATTTGACAACTCTTAAGGAGTAGAAGTTGTGCTTACAGTCCGTTCTGCTGTGTTGTGTCTCTAGTTTCTGGGTGTTCCCCCTTAGTTTTGTATTGCAGCTAAACCTAAGTAGGTATTTAGAGGAATGTCCAGAAGTGCTAAGGATACTGTAAGCAATTAAAAGGTCATCTCTAAGACGCCCATGCTCTAATGAGTGATTAGTAGCTCTATTCATAAGGCATGGATTTGAATCCCCGAACTGATTTCGCGGCTCGCCGTTGGATACGTTACAGTGTCCTTATCGTTTTGGATTGAGGGATGAAATACTGTGTTTCCATATTCTAAATGGAAAGTTACCCGGTCAAACTGGTCAAAAATGCGCTTCAATGTTACTAGTGCAAGGTTTGCTCGGAAGGCATTATTGTCACAGTTAGCGTAAGACTTTAAATCGTAGCGCACCAGGACTCCTAAATCTTTTTCGACTTGGGATACTACTAGAGAGGAGTTACCTAAGTTGTAAATGTAGTCTGCAACATGTCTCAGATGAACCACGTTACAGTTTGAAGTGTTAAAGGTAAGTCCGTTTTCATCTGCCCAACTTTGAAGTCGAGTCAGATCCTCCTGAAGTGCCCGTATATCGTCTTGGTTGCGTGTCTCTCTCCAAAGTTTCACATCACCAGCAAAAGGTTACAACTCATACGATACCTGTTGTGGAAGATGGTTTATACAAACCAAGAAAAGAAGAGGTCTTGGTACTGAACCCTGGGAGACCCAATTAGGATATTCCATAGCCTGAGAGAAAGCGAAGTCAACCATGACCACAAAATTTATATTTTTTTAGATATGAAGTGAGCCAGTCAAGTAGAGGTGAATTGATACCCAATCATTTGAGCTTATTGATAAGACATATATGGTTGACCCTATCAAAAGTTCTTGAGTAGTCAAGGTTAATGACGTCAACCTTTCCCTCTCGATCAATGATGGTTGTCCATTTGTTCACCGCAGTCAGAAGGCTGGTTCTGCAAGAACGACCCTTCCTGAAACCATGCTGTTTGGGTGATAAGAAGTTTAAGGACAGTAAATAGTCGTGCATACCATCGCATATCAGAGACTCCATGAGTTTTGAAGGTATAGAGAGAAGAGCCACCGGTCGGTAACTTGAAGGTTCATTGCGTCGACCTCCTTTGAAAATTGGTGTGATGTGAGCCAGCTTCCAATTTTCCGGTAGTTTTCCTCGGCTTAGAGAGTGTGGCGTTGCCAGGATTGAAGCTGCTTCCCTCAATATAGCAGAATAGACCATATCTCTGCCAGGAGAAATGTCTTTTCTTAGGTGCTGCAGTTTCCGGTACACCAAGTCAGCGGTCAGGTTCACTACGGAAAATCCTGTGCAGTTGCAGATAAGGCTGTCATCAGTATAGTTGACGTGTGTCGGTTGAAATGTCCAAGAGTATTGTCCAGCCAAAAGGTAGGCGGCGTCACCGTCGTTATTTGTCAGGCCACTATGACATAATAGTTGGGAAACTACAGTTTTGGCTTGTCGAAGAAATGATTGGACAAACTCATCTATAAGCTTTATCTGGTACTGAAGTCTGTCTTCTCTTATTGCCTTTGTGCACGTGTTCCTTATACGTTTATATTGCCTGTATGCCCCGTTGTTATCAGATCGTTCGTATTCTGCCCAACAGTGCCGTAAACTGAGAAGATATCCAAGTTTCAGATATTCCTATCAGATGAGCGTCACATAACTCACCCATTTTATTTGGTAAACTCGTGGCGTTCATGTATAGGCAGTTTATGCTTTCAATTTTAAACGCATGAGCTTCTCTATATGAGCCTGATGTGAGTGGACAGGTAAGCTACTTATACAACGTTTTCCGAGTTGATAGTCCCTGTCATTTAGATTGTTTATGATCAAGACAGTCCATAAGTGGAATGGTCAGTTCGAACTTGCCTTTGTGTTTGATCCTGGCGTCGTGTGGCCTAATAAAACTCGCACACGTTTTGTACGGCTTTTCATGTTACTTAGTAGAATCTGCAGCATATAAACAACTTTTCAGATGAACTCAACTGGGTGCTTCACTATATCCCTTCTGGTCCAGGTCTACTTAATTTATTGATGTTTTTCAATTTGAAGTAACATCAAGTCTCACGACAAGCGCGAAAAATTTAGACCGCTGAGCTGACATCGCCTATCATTGATGATATTTCTCTCAAGCTTGATACAACTAGGCACCGGTGACTGTCCACTTCTGAGTGGATAGAATTATTCAGTTACGAGATTGTAGCAGGTTGCGTTTTGATAAGAACACATTCACTCTCCGACACCTGACATATTATGAGATAGATAACTTGTAATTCGACTGTATGCGGCTCCGTGAATACAAATCGACCATACGATAACAGCTATGGATCATGCAAATAAATTTTAAAACGAATCGGATTGAAATTTGTAGTAAATATGAAATTTCGTTCGGATACTCGTGCGGTTACCAGTTAAAAGTCAAACAAAGTAGACATGCAAGTGTTTATTCTGTAACTTGATTATGGTTGATTCGGATATGACCGCGACAATGAAGCGTCTAGTACCCCTGAGTCCCAAAAAAGCGTTTAGTGAAGTGTCAAAATGTACAGAACAACATCTGTCTTTAAAGCTTGTTATGTGCAGTAACATCGTTATAATCCAGACAATACAAAAACAGGAAGTTTACGTAACTATTTTACCACACATGCCATGTCGATGTTCTGGAGAATTGTATCGGGCTTAGTCGCACCTTCTGAGAGCCGTACCAACAGAAAAAAACGGTTCTAAAGAAATTACCACAGTTATTCAACAAATTCAATCAAGTCAGTTCGAAAAAGCAAATGTTCTTAATAATATAAAATTATCCCTTCTAGATAGATCAAGTGGACCTAATTCAAAAGGTAATATTTAGGATTTTTACGACAATGAGCGCTTACGAAAATGTGCTTTAATTTAAGATAAAATGCAAGGGAAACGAGTCAACATGGTAGCCATCAGAGCCACGTAAAACAATGTTGATGTAGTTCGTGAGAACCATAGGAATTCGCTAGACGAAGGAAAAGTTACGATGGAAAAATAGTAGCTGTCTCATCTAGGACTAAAAGATCAGGGAAGTATACAGCTGAAGGGATAGAGGAAAATAATTCGAAAGGCAACATGTCACATTAGAAGGGATTTTCATACATTCATATAAACCTCCAAAGCACCTGACAGTGTATATTTAACACCTACCTTTGCATTAAATCAATACAACCATTCCCACCGAATTACGTTATTTTAGAAATCTCGATTGGTGTGCGCCACTGTCCAAATCTTGGATTTTATGAACTCTTGGAATTCTAAAGGTTTTGCGCCTATTCAAAGGAATTAATTTTTACTGAAAGTAAAAATCGTCTTACCATAAGAAATTCGAGAATTTTACACCAGTTCCTGCTTACTGGTTCTGGGAACCGATCATGTCCCAGTGTCAATCTGACAAAAAAATCAGTGACATTCTATCTATTAAATACATAGTTTACTGCTTTGAATAGCTACAACTGACCCCAATGCGTTCCACCGGAGTGGTAACCACGTGATTTAGCATTATTCTTAGCGAGACTATGACGGTTCCAGAAATTGCTTGGAGCTTTTCCATAAATAAAGTGCTATAAACATCTCTATTGATTTTCCACTAGACAACCCAGTCACTTCTGATTAGAATTAACAAAACAATAAAAATACAACGAATTAGTAATGCTGAAAAGTATTAAATACATACAAAATACGGTTAAGATACGAAGGAAATTAATAAATCACAAATGACTGATTATTAGCAACAGTAGTTCAATCACTTATCATAAAATCAAGAATATTTTGATGCGTTCAACAAGATGTCATTTAGCGGAAAAAACTTAAAACTGTAGTCTGGTACTGAACAGAAACCAAAGGGATGAAGAGGTATACAAATCACAATCTTGAGACGGTGAGATGACAGAACAACAAACTATTGAGAACATAAGTTTATGAAGTCTGATATGCTGTCGTTACTACTAAAAAGTATGCAAACACGATCAATATCACATTTTATGAGCCAAAACGCCAGATCCCAACAAAGACGCTCGTCGTTGCCACATACAATTAAGAGCCCAGGTGAACATGGTGTTACTGTGTTGACCGATTCCTTAGTGACTCCATGACTTGATTTAATATTTAATAACTGTCTAGCTTGTGTTGTTTGATGCCATAGTTTTTGGTTTATCAGAAAGGCTAAAAACTCTGGTATGATTTGTGGTCGATTACGATTACCACTTGGATAGTCAATCACCTCCCAGTTTTCTGGAGAGAAAGTAGTGGTAGTGGTAGTTGAAGATATATCGCTGCTTTCTTCAATTCCTGTTGATGAAGAATCTCGCATTACAGATCTGGAAATCCCACAATGAATACTGTTAGGCAAATGAAATCTGAAAAAAGCGATTTTTTGGAAAAATATCACAGTTACAATGTCAAGTGTTTACCAAACATTTAATAATGTGTCTTAGCATGTAAATTTGGAATTTATAAAGTTAGGAAACAGAATATCGGATACATAAAGTAAGCCTGTCTAATTTTATTAACAGACTTGGTTTATGATTTTTGCAGTACTCATCTTTACATTCAGTGTATTTTTAACAGTTAACAAGGAATTTTATTAGCACGTGAATCGATTTGCTAATTATAAAGTGGCTAACAGACTCCTTTTATTCATATTCGTTAATACTCCGATTTTTAAGCCTATAATTAAATTCAAAGAGTAAATTTTACACACTTTCTTTCATACTTCTATGGACAAACTGATATGACAAGTTGAACGAACGACCAGAAATTACTACGAGACTATGATCCAGAAGATCCCGAAACATACAAGAAATAAAGTTGAATTGAGTAAGACTTTTATAGTTATACACCTTATTCCGTCAAATTTACCCTGTAATATACGGACTTTTTGTGGAAACTGCTGAAACTATTGGAATGTTTATTAAATGGCCCAACCGTTGCTCACAGAAGAAATTTGTGTATTACCCCTCTTTACCCTGTACATCGACATGTAAGTGTTTATATATATTATTATTATTTTAACACATAGATATTGGTACAAGGAGGCACAAAATACATATGCGCCACAAAAATCCCATTCGATATGTGTGAGGGCTGTGATACTGCCCGGGTGCCCAGACCGAAACAGGGTTTATATATATATATATATATATAATGTGTGTGTTTGTGAAGACTACTGATACTACCAGCCAGATGAAAGTTAAGTCAGTGAAGCAACAGGGTTGGAACTTGTAATTTAACCCAAATATAGAAAATTAATGGATGAATTTTTTAAACTGATGCATGAAAAGGTTCTTATGTTGAATTGATTGCATCTAAAGTATTTCTTGTGTATGGATGAACTATTTAATGAACAATGGCACAAAAACCTAGAATACAAAGTAAATCATATTAAAGCGATTAATAAAACTACAGTGGATCATGAACATTTGATCTTGATTGACCTGAGAATGTCTAACATTTTTTATTTTGCGTTTCATGTTTACACTTTATCTATTGCTCTATTTAATTTTACTTTCCCGGGAGCGGGATCGTGGACGCGCACTGTTGAAAAGTCCCACAATAAGACGAAACGGCCGTCCAGTGCATCCAGGTTTTCAGTGGTGATCTAACATCAATCGGTTCATGATCTCAATACATTTTAAGTATTATTTGTTCAACAAGTTTGTTGTATCTAGCTGTTTGTCGGCTATCTTTATGTTCACTTAGTGAGTGAGTGTTCCAAATTGGAGTTTTATTTTCACTAAAAATTTCTGATCACCTGTGGAGATTTCTATAACTGTTTGATATGAAGAAGTCAATGTGGTACAGTCCAACGTGCAGGATGAAAACCAAAAACTACTAATGAAAGCTACATTATAATATGCAACAATCACCCCCATGAATGAAAATACTTGAAACAACAAACACATTGTACATTAAAGATGTTGCAGATAACTCGTTTTATTTGATCAAGCGAATTACAGAGTAAATTACTTCTTAACTATTCTAAATGTTTTGAATTTGATTCCTATTGACTTAAATCAGTTAATTCCATGAAAAATAACGTTGACCTCGTTATTTCATATATGATTGAATTGATGTAAAGGTCGAGTTTGAGCCAGTAGCAATAAAATCGAGAGATGATTGCACAATACCGTGAATCGATGGAGGCTATACGATGTGAATGAATGTATTCTAGCTCAGTGGTCCACATTTTAAGTGCTCGCCACAAGATCAAAAGGTCCTGGAGTCGATCTAGGTGGGATCGTGGATGTGTACCGGCAAGGATTCCGGTACCAGGACAGAACATGTGTTTGCTGCTTCGTGGTTTTCAGTGGTTATCTAAATAACATCAGTCTGTGATATAAACTACAAAATCTAGTAGTATCTACAAACACATAACACTGATAAATTATCATACTCTTATAATGAATGAGAATATATGGCAATACAAAATTAGGGGAATGACTAAACAGCGGAAAATCTGATTAGAAAAGAGGAAAATTCTGAAGTCTCTTTACTTTAAACATTATTATCTAACTACATTCTTGATAAATAAACATGAATCATATTATCATAATCAAAAAAATTTGAGAGATGCATATGTATATTACATATATAACTGAGTGAAGAGAATGTTGATCTTAAAAATCAATCTTTCAATCACTTTTCTGTGATAAATTTGTCTATAACGCAAAGATTTTATGAAAATATCATAGCTCATCATTCATCAAGATAAGAAAATAAGAGTTTATTTTAATACAGCGACTAACTACAGAATTAATTCTGATTACTTGGCTTTAACCATACTACTTTCCATGCAGGTATGAGTGCCAAAATGATTCCAATCTTTAATACTGTTATTATGTTAGTGTTCCTTAATCACGTGGTACTCTCCTATTTATTCATCCGGTCAAAACAAAAGTATTTCCAGAAAAAGTGCGAAAATGATATAAGTGAAAATATATTATAGGGATGAGGCAATCAAAGTTGAGAAAATTGTTGTTAGGTATTTTGCGGTACAAGTACCTCTGTATAGTCCTCTAAACGTTAAAAATGAAAACGAAAATTAGCTTTCTTGCTATAAAGTGAAAAAAATAGTGTTAAACGAATCAAGTGAACAATTCTTGCTATGTGACATGTATGAAACTCTCAAATGAACTCTATGCCTAAATCTTAACCGTAAACGCGTAACTATGACTTAAACCTTAAATCTTTAATCTAAAATCCATAACACTGAACGCATAGTGCTACAACTAAACCTCTAATCTATGTAGTTATAAAGTAATACTACATTATGTCAGTTTGTGACAAAAACTCCAAACATAACTTTTAATCCTAAATCTCAACATTAATTCATGATTCCAGAACAATCTGGGAACTCCTATAAATCATTTTAGGTCTTTAAAAGGGTTCGAAAAGACAAATGTTGTATATCTATATGGATAAAGTCATATAACTTTTTTTTTAATTTGTAAAAAGAAAAACGTTGAAAGGATTTTAACAGATTAATTAATTATGCGAAATCCGTTTAACACTTATGACATTATTGCTTTATTTTCCAAAAAATAGCCATTTCCTAAGAACTGTTTTCTGATCGACTGAAAACTGGTTGAAAATTCATCGCAGTTTTTTGGCTCACCTCTATAAACTATAATATAGATAATGTGAGATGACAGACCCGCCTGCTTGCTTATAACCATTATTGAATCACTGCTTAGTTTTATGGTACCCATAGAATGTTATGGATGAAAATTAAATGTTATAACCATTTAAATCAATGATAAGCAAAGATGGATAGTGATTAGCACTAGAATCCAGGACGCGCGTTTCGTCCTATTTGGGACTCGTCAGTTAGATGTATCTGCATCTCAGAGTTGATGTCCACTCCGGGACTCGAACCCAGTACCGTTCACAGTCCTAAACATCAATGAGAGGATTCAAGTAAACAATACCAAGTGAATTCATCTAAATCAATTTTTAAAATTTTGGAGAAATAAATAAAAATTTATGATCAATATCAAACAGAATACATGAATATATTACTTATGAAAAAAATTAATAGGAATATATCATAGAAATAAGACATTATTTATTGAATGCTTACCTATTATATTCTTTGATATTACGTACATCTAAAACTAGACAATCTGGACGTTTCACATGCACCACAGCATCTTTAAAACTGAGTAATGGGACTAATTTAAAAGCATTTGACGATATATTTAGTTTCTCACAAACATTTGATGCAACATCGATATCAGAATATTCTAATGATTCTGTAAAATCATATTCTAAATGATCTGGCCATGCATTCTGTGATTTTAAACGCTAATTCAAAAAAATAGGGACATGACTGTAAATCAACAGGATTTAATTAACAAATTTATTCATTAAAGAGGAAGAATGTATTGTTTTAGAGACAAAAGTATTACTACGAATAACAAGATAAGAACATGAAGAAAAATTAAAAGCCATACATAATAAAATCGTAAGAACCAGAAATCAAATATTGTCAAAAAACGCGTCTAAGGGGGACATAACTAAGACAGATTCTGAAAATAAAATACTAATATATTTGTAATATCCTCATGAGTAAAAGATCGAATATCTGACGACGTTTAACTAAAAGTTCAGTCCCAAAAGTATAAATCGCGAAAAATGAACTTTTTACTAGAATAATTACTAAACGAATAGTTTAATTGTTCAACTTCACAATCTAATATTAAATTACTTCTAGAAGAAATGTAGTTGGATAATCTTTTGAATGCCCGAAAATGCAATTAAACTTACTTCATAAAAATCAGAATTTGACGATTCGTTTCCTTTGGAATTCAGGTTTTCAACTTTTAATTCTTCATTTTCCATAAATTTTTGATTTAAATACTGTCTATTGGGAATCGACCAAGCTGTTAAACTTCGAGGTGTAGCCAATGCCAATTTTAAAGCATCTGTTCTACATTTATCCAAATTAAGATCGGGAAAATTCGACAAAATTGTACAAATCTTTTCTAGTCCTAACAACTAAAATAAATCAACCAAATAAGAGCACAATACTCATGTAGAACTACTCAAATATAACTAATTTCAGATATACTAATTAACAATTACAATTCGTGAAGCATCTGCCGCCGACCAACATTCTCTAATCATGTCCTGGGCTCTCCTTTCCATTCGTTGCCAAGTACTATTCATTTTTTGATGTTCGCCACCGATTTCCGGTGCCATGTGTTTTTTTGGTTTGCCTCTTTTCACCTTGCCTTTAGGATCCCAAGTTAGGGCTCACCTCTCAATACAGTTTGATTTCCACAATGTGTCCTATTAAAATCCAGCATCTTTTACTAATTTCCTCTTCAGATGGAAGCTGGTTTTTTCTTTCTAACAGTAGGCTGTTGCTGATGATATCTAACCGACGGACACTGAGTACTTTGCATAGACAATTGTTTATAAATACCTGTACTTTTTTGATGATGGTTGTGGCAGTTCTCCAAGTTTCAGTTCCATACAACAGAACTGTCTTGATACTCGTATTGGAGATTTTGATTTTGACTGACGGTTGTTTTGAATTTCATATGTTCTTCAACTGTAGAAATGTTTCCCTTGCTTTGTAAATCTATTTCTTCACATCGGCATCAGATCCCCTTGTTTATCAGTGATGCTGTCCCGGAAAGTAAAAGTTTCCACCCCTTCCAGAGCTTCTCCATCCATCAAGTGTGAATGGGTTCGTATTCGCTCTGTTGTATTTGAGGATCTTGCTTTTCCCTTTGTGAATGTTGGGGCCTACTGCTATATCGACTATCGTCAACTGCATTCGTTGCTATGCATGGGATAAAATGAGATTAAACATGTACATGGACTGTGACAAAACACCAGTGTTGCTAATCTTAAACCAAGGATTAATTGCAGTAGTACAGATGCATTTGCACTTTATTTTCTACTAAATCTTGAGTTCCAACATCCTTCCATACACACCTTCTTATTACTTCCTTTCGAACAATATTCTTAATGTTTAATTTTTATAAATCTATCACTAATCCTACTGTTACTTCAATCCCTGTAAATTTCATATTATCATCCTGACGTGGAATGGGATCTTGGGCTGATGCACTTATGTGCTTAGATCTTGCATTATAACTTAACTGAATGACTGAATTTAATGCTCAGTAGGCTAATTTTGTTTTACCACATTTTTGTCATCCTACTACTGACCTTGAACAAACTATTTGATGAAAAGAAATATTGAGGAAGTACACACAAATGGTCCATCACATGATTGTTATAGTCTTCTGTCCTAGCCTCTAGTCATGTCAATAAAACCTGATTTGTTTCCAAACTTTACTTTTGATTATTTCATCAGGCAAGTGAAGTATTTTGTAGCAATAAACAAATCACATTTTTAAAAATATTATGCTATCAAACAAGTTGTCTGCGCAATTTATAAATTTGATTCCTCCAAGATTGTATGTGATAAAGAAATAAATCTTGCATCAATTAACTGCACATAAATTGAATTAAATACTTTCAATTAACCCGATAGTGGATAGTTCTAAAAACTCAACCTCAGGATGAGCATAGTCATGTGTGTATGGTTGAGTCATATGCTAGGAAAAAATAGCTGTTTGTTACTCTCCGATTTCAAATGGTACCTCGACTGAGATCAATTTGTGACGAGTACAACATAAAAAATTGTACCAATCTCCACAAAATCTCTTTAGCTGAAAGCTGATTTAGGATTTCGATAGTTGATCAACAAAAAACAAACATGAAAATCAAATCTTATTCAAAGTTAACTGTTATACAACTAATTAACCTGATTAATAAAAAAATTACCTCAAGATTGATTTGTCTGTCTAACTGAATAAAAAATGCAATATAGAAAAACATTGACAATGAAGCTGGACCAGGAATTATTGTATCCCATAGTAATTCTATACGATCCAATGGCATAGCATGAGCAAATAACGTATAAATCCAACCGGTAGTCAATCCAATCAAAGGCACATTAATATCAACCAATCGAATAGCTAGTCGAGGTACATGAAATGCTAACAACCGTAGAAGTGTATTGAAATACGATTTTAAACCAACAGTAAGACCACCAGAAGAGAAAAATCCCGGTAGCTTTGTTGACAAAAAAGCATTTAAACAAGCAGCAGCCAATGCTTCATCTGGATAACATATACGCACAAATACAGCAGCTACAGAATCCATACCCTAGAAATTACCGAGAGCCGTGAATAGACACGAGATATAATAAACAGTATGAATGAACAGTGTTCAAAACTATAAATAAAAATAATATATTTGTAATATCCCAATGAGTAGAAAATTGGATTTTTCTGACGTTTCGTAGCTTAGTGTAAGTCACTTCTTCAGAGAATAAATAACCAAATTAAATTAATCCAAGTTTAAATAGTACAACGGAACAATGCAAGAATAATATTTGATCAATCAAAAACATACTTATCACTTATGAATCACCTTGACAGAAATGACATACATCAACTTGTTCAGACCTGTTTTTGATTGATCAAATATTATTCTTGCATTGTTCCGTTGTACTATTTAAACTTGGATTAATTTAATTTGGTTATTTATTCTCTGAAGAAGTGACTTACACTAAGCCACGAAACGTCAGAAAAATCCAATTTTCTACTCATTGGGATATTACAAATATATTATTTTTATTTATAACAATCAACCCAATGCTCAATTTATTCGAAAGTGTTCAAAACTGTTTTAAAAAATGTAATCAGATTGAATGATAAATTACGGAACGTGTGGAGCAGTGGCAAAGTGTTTACGACGTCTGACTTTCAGCTACTAAGTCTCATGTTCGAACCCTGCGAGCCCTTTCATTTCCACCGTTGTTAAAAATGCTCTTTCTCATTAGCTTGGTATTGTACTAGTAAGCTTTTTATCACCTTATTTCCAAGAACACTGTCGGTATACTTATACGTAATAGTTGCACACCTAATCGATCTTGTTCGATAGTCCTAATAAATCATAATGTTTATGTATGAGTATTCCTATCGGATTATCGCTTGAGCTAGGTTAGATAAGTTTTCAACACCAACTTTCCATAGCAATCTTCAGAAATATTCGCCCCACCGGCCACCTATCATACACGACTTCATGTTTATTCATTTAACTAACTAAATCATCTAGAGGCTTGAAAAACGGAGACCACACAAATTCAATTGCCATCTCTATTACTGAATTGAGATGGAAACAAAATTAGACTATCGAAATGTCCCAGTTTATTATGCTAACAACTCCTGTTTCCAGACATTCGAGACTATGCGGTTCCTGACACAACTTCCCGAGAGTTAATAAATGAATCTTCCAGGACTACTATATAGCATGTTGCAAAATGAACCAGTTAAAATCACAATGAAATATCCACTTCTCTTGTTCATTCAAAATTTGAATATATATACATCAAGCTTACTCGTACACTTTGTCTAGTTTATTCCACTACTTCTGTCTGCTGTTTTGTCATTATTTTTGTAATTTCGTTAAATGGTTTTTGACTGACACTAATAGTATTTTAGATTCACTGTGAATACGTATAATGTTTATACTAATAAGTAAAAATTAACTTGTACAGCTGTAGCCCAATAACGTATAGGAATACACAAGATTGATCAGCTTATCAAGTTTTAATCTTTTAAATGATCGCTTAGGGATGAATGTAACTAATAAACAATTTCAGAAGGGTATTTTGTGAATATTATAGTACTTTATAATAGTTAAGATCATGAATCAATTGAAGCTGGACGGCCGTTTCGTCCTATTTTGGGACTCCCCAGCAGTGCGCATCCACAATCCCGCCTCGCGAGATCGGTGGGTCCTGGGTTCGGGTCTCACGAGGCGCGATTGTGGATGCTCACTGCTGGGGAGTCCCAAAATAGGACGAAACGGCCGTCCAGTGTTTCCAGGTTTCCATGGTCGTCCAGCTTCAATTGACTCATGATCTCAACTATTAAAAAGTAACAAACAATTGACCAATTAAATATGTTATGACGGTATAGTTGGATTAAACCTAACGTTGAAAATACCATGTGAAAGAACGATGTATGCAAAAAATGAAGGAAAAAAAGTAAGTGGTGTGATTTGGACATGACTGAGTTGTTGAAAGTCGAATACCTTAACCATGAAGCAAAAATTTACGCCTTGCTAAATAGTTAGTCGGTCATATTGAACCAGACAAATAAACCTATCAATGTAAGAGAGATGGTTCATCATTTTAAGTAAAAAAATAATTAAGAACTAGAGGTAATCAACAATACAGCAGGAAACTGACGAATTATTTTCAGAGTACGTTATATAGATATAGTTGTCTTGTACTCTATCCTTATTCTCCTACTATCTTAAATTTAAATATTCATGTAATATTAACATAATCAACGGTTTAAAAATGAAAGTTTTTAATTAACATTTTCAATGCACCTTTCTAGAAAAATGAGCCAACAAATTGAAGTGTAAACTGAATATCTGAAATGCTAAAACAAAATCACCACACACATACATTTAAAATGTCATACTATTAAGAATTTCATTTACCTGAGTATAATCCAATGCACCAGGTTTCATTAATAAAGTCGCTAGTAGAACACGACGAAGTACAGATTGCCCAATAGATGATGCCAACAATGGATCATAAGCATGACAACGTGGTAAATCAACTGATATTTGATTAATGACTTTTTCATCTAAGAGATCACAACTAAGGTTATTATTATTATCATTTAATTCATTTATAGGTGTTACGTCCAAGCCAAACTTGTTGATTCTATGCAATGCCTTCAGGTAAGCTGATTCGAAATCCCGATTGGGATAAACGTCGAGTAAAGCAGCCCAAACCTAGGAAATGCAATATGAAGTTGGTACAGAGAAAACCTTGGTTTTAGTTGTTAGAGAAAATCCAGTGACTAGTTCGACAAATAAGCGAACTTCAGGAACAATTCAGTAAGACAAACTGAACAAGGTAGGAATTCGACAAACATCAAGTGATAAATAATAACTACTGATAGGCATAAGATGTGTAAATAACGTAAAATACAGAGTGTGAACAATGAAGCCAAACGTTTAGACTAGGTAAAATGAGTAGACTAAGAACGTGAAATACATAAATTATGTTTGAGGGAATAAATCAGCTTACGATATCGTTGATCCATTACGAATAAACTGGTCTCGTTCAAATATGAGGTGAGTCAATAACACGTTCAATGTCTGCCAAGTATTTATACCACTATGATTTGAATGGTAGAATTTATGATATCAACCCATTTCGATGATGCACTGGACCATATAGACGGTGCAGCTGCCAATGTTTAGTTGTCATACTAGTTTAATAATAATGACTGCTTTACTAAATACTGTAAATTTTGTTACAGTAAGTTCTCAGCACCAAGTCAATCATAATAACATTTTCGTTTTTAATTTCATTTAAATATTTGTATGACATAATTACGAATTGTGACAACTCAGAATTGAAAGGCTACAACAAAATTTCCCAAAGTGTTTCTTGTTGTTCCGACTCTCCTGACACTGACAAGCTATTTAAGTTTTGAACGTAAAGACTACAAATATACAATTGAATGTTTCAGTCTGGTAATTTGAAAAAAAAAGATTTAATGACAAAGTCACTGATATATTACTGTATTTAAACACATTGTATATAAATGAACGAATCGGGAACTTCATAGACCTTGAACAATCGATAAATAAAAATCTCAACTCTCGAAATAAGAGGATGATTTTAAATTATGTTAAGGTCATTCTTATAACGAACTAGAATCTAAAGAATTATCTGAACTAACGACAACATCACAAATTCGATATACTTTTCAGAATACAGAAACTGGAGCTATATAGTACAATTATTTTAATTTCTCATGAGAGTTCTAGTTAGTAGACACAAGGTAACGAATCAAATGCTTTCAGCATTGACGTAAGTTTGAGACTGTTCTGAAGTAAATTTTTATGAACGGATTTTTTAGTTCAAATGGGAAAGAATAGCGATAAGCAAACGACATGAAATGATGTGACTGAGTGATGGCTCCTTGCGAAAACAAATTATTAATGTAGGTTCCCGTATGATTTGAGATCAACGGCAAGACCGCCAAGGCAGAGAAGGGTTTTTTGTAAGAAAATAACATGATTATATACAAAATAGTGACAAAAAAAAATAACTAAAGCAAATCAATGTTGTAGGTGGTCGTTTACTCTCCAATTAATTAAGATCTTCACCATCATATCAGTGATTGGAGTCAATCAACAGGAAGACTCATTACAAAACCTTAAGTTGTGTCAACGATTAACACAAGTACTAGTTCAACAAGAAGCATCAGTTCCCTTAAGATTCCAGATCTGCCTTGTTTACGAGTGCTAACTAGCAGGAGAACTAGGTCCAAGTTATCTTGCTGACTGTTTCCAACCAGCAACTTATATAAAAATATAGTGCACCCAACGTCGAGTTAATTGGACTAGTGGTTACATTACAACATGGTCGATAGAGTTTGATCAACACTAAAGACTGACATTGGTTGCTGCTCAGTGATCAAACGAGACTTTTGGGATGGTTGTTAATGTCTAGCAACTACATAGAGGGGAACTTTGAACGAACGATGAGTAACAATGTTGAAGTGTCAACCAACATTCAACTCCTATTTAAATAATCATTAATTATGAAGAAAACCGATATTATAGTATACTATACGGGAACTGTTTAATGTTACATTCTTTGCAATCCGTTAGATCTTGAGATTTGAAATTATCTTTTAATTTTTTATACTGCAAAGTCATTTTTTCTTCTCCTGATCGTTCTCATCATGCCTAATCCTTAAAACGATCACCAGTACTCCTGTGGTGCGTGATATTTATATTGATATAAGTAGTATGTGACGCGAGTTAAAAACGTAATGTCTGGCAGCAGAAGATGGGGGAAGATCAAGAAAGGAAGAGCGGGAACACAATGCAATTTGTAAGAAAACGTATGAACAATGAGATGTGAGACAATGGATTGATGTTTGCAACAGGAACAGTCCGGTTTGACATGATGGATTAATATTTTGCAAATTAACGTTTTACTATATGGTTTTTCTATTGTACCGAGTAACTGTAATTTTGTGCCACGTACATTCGACTGTCCCCACCCGTGTTCTGTTCACTACACTCTTACTACTTTTACTACCTTAACATTTGTCCTGATAATTTCATATTGCTGTGCTAATGTGGTGTATGACGGGATGAAAAGTCAAAATTAGATTGATTTACTCATTATGATTTTTATTCAACATTAATCCCGTTTAATTCAATTTGATGACCACTCACTATAGTATTTATTTCGTTTTCCCCTATGACATTTTATTCTGCATAACATACGATATTCTTATATGAAGTATTTTTCATATATGTGATTTATTCTGATTAATCAAAAATGGGTGTATGAATCAATATATAAATGAGTATATTTCTGACTAGACTTGTTGTGGTTGTTCGTGCTTCTGGCTGTTTGTGGAATATATTTCCCTCTTCCGAACTTGACCTTCTCCCTCTAGTTAGCGCATCAGAATAGCTAGCTTATTGGTCTTTGGTCACAGTCTTTGTTCCGTTCGCAGACTAGGTGAACTCGTAATCGCTTCAAACATAGCAGTGTGGAAACTTTAACTGATGCATACATGTCCTAGGTTCTCTGTTGTGCAAGTCTAACTGATGAGTTTTCCATAGTACGAATAAAACCACACTTTTAATATAATCTTACCTTCCAACGTAAAAATGGTGGTATATCTTTACGTGCTTCTAAACGAAGATATTGTTTAGTTGCGGGTAGTCCATTGATTATTCGGGTAAATAAACGTGTGCGATAAATTTGATAATCTACATCAGTTTCTCTAACTGATAATGGTTGTTGTGATATTGATTCATACTGATTATTTGTAAATGACATACTCCAATCAACACCGGTAATACAGGTTAAATCATTTTTGCATAATGAATCTAAAAAATCTGAAAGTTTCTCAGTCACTTCAAACAAAGGTGAATTAGGAATCATACGTGTATATTCATTTGGTATTAAACTGTTAGATGAAGTATTAATATGATTAGTACTATTATTATTAACTGAGTACAAGGCAGAATAAACATTTGAATTTCCTGTGGAACTAATTTTTAAATCTTGATAAATAAATAGGGGATATAAATGATGAAGAGATGTATGCGATATACGTTCAATAAAACATTCATTGGAAAGTGGTGTAATTTGGAACTGAAATCTAAAAACGTAGAGACATGAAAGAAAGCAAAATAATTTGACAATTATCAGTAAAGCAGGGTTTGTGACGATTCTTGAATATTATAGTTTATATCAACGACTAATCTTAGTTATACAACCACTGAAAAGTAAGCATAGGATAGTTGTGATTCCCGGAGTTTTAGTGGGAAGCCGTAACCAGTAAAGTTAGACTATGTCTGATGTAAAAGATTGTTAATAACCGAGATGATCGCTTTATATCGCGATATATATATGGAGTGAGATTAATTATGTGAAAAAAACGAGAACGGCACTTACGTACGTGGCTGTGGAATTTCACCTAGCGGCCATTGTTCTTTTGAAGATATTGCACGCGTAGCATTTGATTGTACTAAAGCAAGATAATGTGGAATTCTCAAGACTGGAGGTAATAAACATTGAGAATTCGCGCCAATTAATGTTTCTTTTTCTTTTATTGATTCTTGCTTGAAACTGTTATGATGATAATTATCAATAATACTTTTTGAATCTGTATGACCTTTTAATGTAGCATGAATTTTACCACCGGTTAACATCCAATAGTAATAAAGTTCTGATAAATTTTCAATACTGTTAATAAAATTATAAGCTTTTAAAATATTATTTTTGTTATCCTCCAAACTGAATAATTGAGGATGAAATTCACGTTTCTTGGGTTGATTATATATTTTCTATGTAATAGGAAAAAATAATGATTACTGATGGGATTCATAAAGATATTTGTTCTTTGAAAATAGATATGTTAGGTAGCATGGTCTTTGATAGTAATTAACAGTAAACAAACACACGTTCATTGTCTCATTTTGAACAGTACTTACATGCAAATAGCACTCAAATACTAAAGAATATGCCTTGATTATCAAATAACAATATGCATACCTTATGCAAAAACAATCTAATCGACAATAACGATCTCTACTTAGATTAAACGAGTTTGGTCATTTTGATTATTTACGAAGATACCCTAAATTTTGTTATTCATTGGAATCTAAAACGTTCAAATCCAATCTATAACAAATGGATTTTTTGCAACTTCTTTTATTTAATGAAGTATATGATGCATTGACTTGGCCTTGTAATATACTTCTGCTGAAAAAATATACCAGTTAAAAAATGAGCTATATTACGATTATAATAATAAGCAGCAATAAACAGCTACTGGTGTGATTACTAGTTATTTGTGCATTATAAGAATTAATGTTATGATATAATTTTAAACAATTTTCTTAGGTCTATGAATACGGTCATGTATTACCATTAGTATTTAAAAAAAGATATCTTATGGCCTCTCTCTTACAACTTTATGAAAGGTCTCTTGTTATTATTCCCAAAAAGAGCTACAAACAGGAAAAAAAGCAAAAGTGGCTCAACTGTAGGTAATCAAGTTCATGATTGCTGAAAAGTGATGGGAAAAAATGAAGAGAGACGGGAAAGGCAGTGAGTTTGTAACATCGCACTTTTAGTAATTGAAGTAAGAAGTACGTAAATTTGGTAGGTTAACTTTAGTTATCTTTGAAGATAGTGGTTCAGAACTATTAATTAAACTGATTAGTCTAAATTAGTGATTTTTTTCATATGACAAGGAAAAAAAGTCTTATTTTGACAATCACAAAAGAACCATAATTTTAAGATCTCCACTTCCGTAAACATATGAAACCCACTACTATTTATAATCACAAATACGAAGTTAATTAGGTTTAGTTTAAGACCTGCTCTAGTTAGTCAAACAACTCTATCTTTTGCCATATTTTGAGACACCAACAATTATTGTCGTTAAATTTCACCCATAATGGACCTATGCACTGAATTTAAATGTTGACCTACAGAGTTGATGACAGCACTTGTCACTGAAGTAGGTGTCAAACAAGTAAATCAAACTACTCAAATAATTGGTGTCAGAACACACCTTACAGTAATTTACCTTTCGAAGCTAATCATTAGGATTATGTACTGTCTACACTTTTATTCAACTGTTATGAATATTCCTCATGGATTGAGTATTTCCTAAGAGATCCTCTTATCGACTTGGAATAGGCAAACAGTACTGGAATGAAGATCCTGATAAAATGCAGAGTTTACACCTAATGACACAGTTCAGTATAGTATTCCCTGATTTCATGAACTGTTGTGAAATTGGGGGAGGCCAGACTACGGCATTAGATCAGTCAGTAAGGTCACTCACCATTGGACTAAGCCAAGTTGTGGGATGTGAACATCCTGGTTAGCGTCCATGAAATAATTATAACCTATAGTTGTAAACCTTACGTGATATGCTCCGAGACAGATTGCAGAGGCATCAATGGATTGATTATTCCTCTTCGATAAAATCCTGAGTTCCCTTCTTATTTCTTTATTCCATTCACAATTCTTGAAATATATTTTCTATATTTAGTTACAAAACAATACTAACACTGATATTATTTTGATTCTGTTGTTTTCAATCTTACTAATTTCCTCTTACACTTTGTAAATATGAATTGTGAGAGCTTGGTTCGACGTACATTCATGCTAGGTATGACTAACTAATGCCCTTTATGTTATGCAAACTTTGCCAAACCTATCAATGATGGCCAGCCGTTAGGACCTAACTCTGTACGTAGGTACATTGACTACACTATTTTACTCAAGTAAATAATTTGGGCACAACTGGTAATGTAGTGAAGAAGAACACGGGTGAGGACAGCCAAATTGTATTTAGGACAAATTACAGAATTACTTGGTAAATTAGAAAAACCATATAGTAAATCGTTAATTTGCAAAATATCATTCTATCATATCAAACCGGGCTGTTGCTGTTGCAAACATCAATCCATTGTCTCGCATTTCATTGCTCATGCGATTTCTTACAAATTCCATTGTTTTCTCGCTCTTCTTTTCTTGATCTTCTCCATCTTCTGCTGCCAGCCATTACGTTCTTTTGACTCACGTTATATACTACTTATATCAATATAAGTAGCACGCACCACACTCGTCCCCCCTTTTAACAAGTTGCTGTCGTAGTCTTTCTGATCTCCGTACCGCTGTGTTCTTTGGTGCTTTTCGTGATTCACACCCATGATGATCTTGAAACCATCTCTGTAGTTGACTAGCATTTACGCGCTTCTGTTTGTCTTCTCTCCGGATCGTGTAGACCGAGCCGCGTCTCTCCGTGATTATATACGGTCCTTCCCATTTTGGGGCCAGCTTCCCCGACCCTGCTCCCCCTGCTATGTTACTTTTTCGTTCTCTACACTTTACTAGGTCCCCCACTGCAAAGGGTTTCCACGTTCTCCTCTGTTGTTCTGCCTTCTTTGTGTCTGATATTTGTTTCTTTTCCACGTTCCTTATTGCCTCTCTCCTCTCTTTTCTTAACCTTGTTGTCGTCCACTTCTGTTGTTGTGGCCAGGTCTTATTATGCATTGGAAGTCGTGGTTGTCTGCCATACATGAGCAAGAAAGGTGACTTCTTGGTTGTTCCTTGTGTTGAGGAACGATGTGCCAGCAAAATCAATGGTAACTCTTTCTCCCAATTTCCTCCTTTTGATGCTAACCATTCCTTTAACGTCCGATTGTTTCTCTCTGTAAGCCCGTTTGTCTGAGGATGATATGGTGTAGTTCGTATTCTCTTGATGCCAAACTGCTTTAAACGGGCTTTAAACTCGTCACTTTCAAAACAGGGACCCTGGTCAGTTAATATCATCTTCGGTATTCCGTGACACGCTACAATATGCCGGATTACCACCTCGGTCACTGTCCTTGCCCGCTGGTCTGCAATGGGTACGGCATCTACCCAACGTGTGGCATGTTCCGTCATCACTAACAGATACTGGTTACCGCTCGCCGTCTGCGGAAACGGTCCCATCACATCAACCGACCATAGATCACCGACTGCGGTTACTGGGATTGACTGTAATGGCGGTTGTGTGTATCGATCGCTTTTCATTAGCTGACACTGCTGGCAGGTTAACACGTATTCAGCCACATCGTCTCTCATGTTCGGCCAGTATGCACTTTGTCGTAGTAAGTCCGTCGTTCTTGCGATGCCTGTATGTGCTACCTGGTGACACTCGTGTATCACTTTACGCCGCCAGTCTTTCGGGATCACCGCCACCCAATTTTCATCATCGTCCTGCCAGGTCAGCACTCCATATGAGTTCACTCTCAGTCGGTCCTTTTGCCGAAGCAGCGTTATTACCTCCTTGTCCATTGTTCGTTTATCTACGTCTGCTCCCTCTTTTATCACTCTGATTACCTCTCGAAGGTTAGGGTCAGCTTTCTGCTGCCGGACGAGTTCTAATGGGTCTCCCTCTAAACTATTCACCGCGTATGCTGTTAATGGCAGGTCGGCTTCCATGTCTGGTCTTGACAAGTAATCTGCCATTACGTTTTTTTTTCCTGGAACATGGCCGATACTGAAATCGTATTCTTGCAGGCGTATCATCCATCGCGCCAACTTCCCTCGGGGGTCTCTTGCTGTTTTCAACCACTGCAGGGGTTTATGGTCCGTCTCAATGTGAAATCGTCTACCTAAAAGGTATAGTCTCCATTTTTCCACTGCCCACACGATCGCTAAACACTCCTTTTCGATGGTTGAATACTTCTGTTCAGCAGGTGTGAGGACGCGACTCGCGTATTCCACCACTCTATCAGCCTGACTCAACACAGCACCTATACCATGATCACTCGCGTCTGTGGCCACTGTAAACAGTCTTCCCGGTTCAGGCAGTCTAAGCGTCATCTGGCGATCGTCTAGCATGTTTTTGATTCGGTTGAACGTTTGTTCGGCAGTCTCAGTCCACGTAAACTTGGTGCTGCTCAATAACTTATATAAGGGTGCTGCTATTTCGTTGAAATTTTTGACAAACCGACTGTAGAACGCCGCTCTTCCCAGGAACTGTCTCAACTTCCTTTTCGAATTAGGTACTGCAATATTTTTTATGGTAAGAATTTTCTCCGGCAATGGTTTTATTTCTCCATTTCCCACTTTATGTCCCAACAATGTGACGCTACTTTTCGCTATCTGCGACTTGTCCTTATTAATCCGAAGTCCAAATTCGTCAATTCGCTTTAAGACCGCTTCCACATGTTTGATGTGATCTGTTTCTGTTTGACTGTACACAACTACGTCGTCGCCATATACCTCGACATTATCTAGATTCTTGAGCAGTAGTGTCATTAATCTTCTGAACGTGAACGGTGCACCCGCCAACCCGAACGGCATTCGTTTAAATTGATACTGTTTATCCCGTACAGTAAACGCTGTCTTGCTCCGATCACTCTCTTTTATAGGCAGTTGCCAATAACCTGACCGTAAATCCAGCACTGTAAACACCGTGGCATTCTGTAGCCGATCTAATGTTTCCACCACTGTTGGCATTGCACAAGGCTTCAGGTCTGTTATATTATTCAATTCTCTGAAGTCGACACAAAATCTATACTTTCCATTTGGTTTCTTTACCAAGAGTACCGGCGAGCTATATGGGCTGTCCGCTTCCTCAATTATACCTTCTTTTAACATTTCCTGGACCTGACGATTTACCTCGGCCTCTAAATGCACCGGGACACGACGTGTTGCAAATATATTTACTCGACTGTTCTTTATCGGTATTTCGTGCTTTACTCTGTCACAAAATCCATACGGCTCCCCATCTCCAGTGAATAGTTTGGCATACTTTTTGCATAACTCGTGAATGTTTGGTTTCTTTGACGAGACATCCGCTGCAACTCTTATTTCAGCCACTTCGCTACTTTCGTGTATTGTCAATGAACCATATTTCGTGACCACCTTACCGCTTCTTAAGTCAACTATCGCTTTTACTTCTCTTAGGAAATCTGCTCCTAATATCGGTCTCGATAAGCTTGTGGTTACGACGAACGGAAAATTTATCTCCGCATCCCCCACTTTTACGATACTGTTAGATACACCAAACACCTCTAACATATGGCCCCCTATCGTGTGGACAGCTAATGTACACGGCTTGATTCTCTTACATTGCTCTTTGCCTATTAACGATACTGCTGCACCTGTATCGATCAGACAAACTAAATCTCGCTCATTTATGTTCACTCTCGTATATACTGCCCCTCTGTCTACTAACGCAACAATCCCCAGATTCCTAGGATAGAAAGAACATTCGTTGTAACGTCTAGCATATCTGCATCTTCGTCTTGTTGGACAGTTTATCTTCCAATGTCCTGTCCCTCCACAAGCGTAACATTTATCGTTCCTTTTATTGTTCACTCGTATTGCTGCAATCTCGCGCTCCAGCCTCCTCAATCTTCTTCTCGACATTACTCATCTGCTTTCCGCACCCGACCGGAGCTACTGTTCGCGTCATCAGCTGACGAGTCACCTTCGCCAGTTCACTGATGTCCATCGGTTGCGCTGCGTTCACCAGTTTCAGCTGTTGGGAGACGGTGGCAGGCACACTCTCGATAAACTGTGACGCCAACAACTGTGCCTCCGACTCCTCATCCAGACTCGGCAGCGCACGGCGTAACAATCTGGTAAGCTCCACAGCCAGCACCAGTGGGTCCCCATCGACCGGCAACCTCGCCAACCGGAACTTCTGCAGCGCGTCCTCTCTGTCCACTGGGCTGTCAAACTCCGCCGCCAACCGCTCCGTAACTGCCTCCCATGTGGTCTTTCCGCCAGCACCGTCCAGGCTGTCATACACCGCCTTCGCCCTGCCTCTCAGCAGCGTCCCCAGCACCACCAACTTCGCCTTCGGCTCCTTCACTCCCACCAGCTCCGCCACGGCCTCAAACTCCTTCAGGAAGCTCAGCACATCTCCGTCCTCAAACTCCTTCGGCCATGGGATCTTCATCCTCAGTGGAGGCAGCGACACCAAATGTAGTGAAGAAGTACACGGGTGAGGACAGCCAAATTGTATTTAGGACAAATTACAGAATTACTTGGTAAATTAGAAAAACCATATAGTAAATCGTTAATTTGCAAAATATCATTCTATCATATCAAACCGGGCTGTTGCTGTTGCAAACATCAATCCATTGTCTCGCATTTCATTGCTCATGCGATTTCTTACAAATTCCATTGTTTTCTCGCTCTTCTTTTCTTGATCTTCTCCATCTTCTGCTGCCAGCCATTACGTTCTTTTGACTCACGTTATATACTACTTATATCAATATAAGTAGCACGCACCACAGTAACACTGGTGATTTGTACATGAATTATGCAATCTCTTTTTGAAGATGAGTAAGATGACTATTTCATTTCAGTGATTAAAAACATTGTTTTTTAAATATCTTTTCAACAAAAGTTGGGTAGCGACATTGTTCTATAACATAATTTTATACATATCTTATAATAACTTAATAAACAAAAATGCCTCAATCTGCATTCTTATTGAAATGAAACGAATTTAACTGGTTCAGGACACAGACTGGAAAGCTACCAAAAATCTGCATAAGCAAGTATTCTTAACATAAAGAGAGTAAACTCACCCTACACCAGGAAGTTGAATATTTGTCACCACTTATATCGGAAGATATGTAACAATCAGTTTTCAGTAATTCGTCGATCTCCTTCATAAGACATTTAGGATTAGGTCGCTTTACTGCATCGAACTTTAAGCAACATTGAATAAGCTGAACCAAGATGTCCAGGTCAGCAGATATAACATTCAGATGAAGTTGTAAAAATTCAGGTAATGTTGGATATTCATTCGCCTGACAAAGACCCTTTAGATACAAGGAAATTATTTCACCTTCTTTCATATTTTCACTCCGAAGTTTAAGTAATGGATTAGTGAATTCCCTACCAAATATTGTCTCGAAAAATATGATGCCTAAAGACCATACGTCTGCTTTTATATTTGTCCAGCACATATCAGATTTTGTTGAACGTTCTGGTTGACATGAATTATTGGCTTGATTGTATAAAAATAAAAATACCTCAGGAGCAGAATACATGAGACTGGGGAAGGTAAAATTAGCTATATTTCCCCAATCTGTAGCATAATAAATTCCGTAGCCTCCAATTTTTACACGTCCACCAGAATCAAGCATAATCATATCAGGAGTCAAACAACAGTGCACTAAACCATTGTCACTCATAAAAGATAAGGCAGATAGACATTCACTAAAGCGTTGTGATAACCAATTAACGTCAGTGACGGGACCACTGAAGTTAGAAAAACTTGTGCTGTAGTACTCACAGACAACTGATAGTATTTCACCCTTCTCTCTGACAACATCGAGATACTGACACAAGTTATGATGTTTGATATGTAATAACCGACGAAACCTTGCATAGCATGTCACTGACACGGGTAATCTAGGCAAACCATTAAAATCCACTTCAGTAAGACCGGACAATGACACCGGAATTTGTATTACGCCTATTGGAAATCCCAACGAGGAGCTTCTGAGAGGTGGTTTTTCCATGAGCCGAAACTAGAATTTAAGAAAAAAGTAAATATTTATAAAGCACGGAAGTAAATAAATTTTTAACTTGATATACCTATACCAGAAAAAGCAATCTTTAATGTTTATTCCAAATGATCAAATAAAACTAGGGTGATTTATTACAAGTTAGGTTAGTGCTAATACATAGCTGTCATTAGCATCTACTAAGGATATCTTGACTTATTTATTCTCTTTAATACAATAGTTCAGAAATGCTAAATTACAAGAAAATCCCATAATAAAAAACTGACCAATTTATGTCTACCGGGTAACCGTGAGAAGAAAGTGATTAAAAATACAAGACGCCAGAGGTCCTCATTAGTGGTTTCCAAACGTGACTGCTGTTTTAACTTGGTGGTTGGACCAATCTACCGTGATGGCACGATTAGGTTGCATAGGCTGAAGCAATTGTTCCTTCCGGTTTTAGTATGCCGGATAGGTCGGTCGAATACCACGATCAAAAACATATAACCTAAAGTCTGATGGCAATGTCTTACTGAAAACTATACTGGAATCTAACCAGAGGCAGTGTTTTTAGCGAATGACTGGCATATCCAATGATTTTGAATTACTAAAATATAATGGGGTTAAGAATGTCGACTGAAAAAATTGAGCAACACACCTCTCCATAGAGATTTATGCTGCAGGTGCCAATGGTTTAAAGGTACAGAGCTAACATATCTAACAGCTGCCACAACTAAGATAGTATGTAACCGACCTCAAGTAACTATTTCGTTGAGTCAGTCACGTTCCAAGGCCGTCAAGGTCACTAATCCAACCTCTTTAGATGCATAAAAGGATTTCTTTTCAAGGGGTGAGCTGCCGAAAAGTAACAACGATTCACATACATTCAGATTCAACCAAGCATATCATCTTGTTCAGTTTATTACGCACACTGTCGTTGCTAGCAACTTGGTTACTAACTCATGTGATCCAGTCGATACAGTCTACCGCGGAATCTTTCTCCGTCGAATGCGATGCTCGAACAAACTCCTCACACAGTCACTTTCAAATTTTAAGTAGCAAAATGTATGCAGAAAGAAGCCAGTTTTCATACATTGTGGTGGTTGTGGATTGCGACTTGGTTGATAATATCCCAATCTCTCTATTTTGGGGTTTTCCCCGAAGTCGTAAGGAATATGGTACTTTTCTCCAAATTTTAGGGAAAAACCCAAGTGTTATAAGATTCTGTGAAAACATTGGGGAAAACCCTAAATTTCCTCAAACATTTTGGGAATTTTTCCCACACCTCAGGAAATTTTAGGGTTTTTGTGTCATTTCTTCAAAGTTTTTTATTGCGGTTTCCCCAAAATTTACCAAAACGGACAAAATCTTCTATAAAATAGGAAAATTGGGATTCTACAAATTATTATGACTAACTCACCAGAGAAAATACGTAGTTCTAAATAGGTAAAGTAGTAATCAGATCCAAATTATCCATCCCTAATACCTGACAGTACATAGTTGAATAAGTCTTAGGATCATTATGCACTTAGCAAATATGAAGGGGATTTAAAACACCTGACGTTCAACCACCAGGTTCCAAATATGAACCTAGCTTTACTTCAGTTTATGCAGCGGTTATTAATATTACCTTAAACAGTGTAGACTAAAGCCAAAGTACAAAGTTGAACTTGATTGCTGATTAGAATGAGCACGGACTTCCGAAAAGCCGTAACGTCCAAGTCCACCCAAAAATCGAGATTTCTAAAAGCAAAGGACCTCTGAGAATTTATTGATTTACTAAAAGATTTTAAAAGCTGGTACAACACATGCTGCCTTGGAGAACTGGACCTGTCATAAAGTTTCATAGTGTGCCATTTCTCCTTAGCAAAACTTCTTATAACAACTTTACGCCATATCTTTGTAAACCAGAGCTAACAGTAGATCCATAGAGAGCTAAGCTAGGCGTCATTTTCGGCAGGTCATACTGGCAGTCTATTAAGCGATTTGTCAATAATCTAATCAAGAAAACAGACAGGATTCCTCATTAGAATCAACAAGACTGATATTAGTATAAGTAACGTGGAGGCGCCTTAGTTTTGAACGAACTAAACACTACATAAAATAAAATTGAATGAAAATTTTTTTGCAGATGATTTAATGTTTTGGAAAGAGGTCTAAAACCAAGATAGATTAGCGCTGCAGTAATATCCAACTCGACTTCGAGAATGAGATAAGGATGAATCAACATCTAACTCTGAGGGGTAGTCCATCAGTGGGATAATGTAAAACACACGTACAACAAATAATTCTTTATTAATATTCATTAACAGGACACGATTTAAGTGTCTTGGTTCGTTATGACCTAGAATTGTATGTTAACTTTGATGAAAATGCTGTCAAAGCCAACCTTTCACTAGTAACTTTGATGAGTATTTTTGCCGCTTAGATGGCAAGCGTTTTCACATAATTTTACAGTTCTGTGCAGCCTCAATTAACAAAAGAATGATGTTTTCTCTTTCAACAAAAAAGTTCATTTGGAAAGTATTCAAAGTTTAAAAATACTGCGTCAATACCTCTTGAAATAAATAATGCCGAAACGCGACCTCAAAGTGACTAAAATCACAAAATCTCATTTAACATTCCCTGAACCAATTACCTGAGTTCAACTTCGATACGATACGTAGAGGGGACATTCGTACGTCAGATGGAGTCAAATGGAGCCTAGTTAGAAAACTTCTATTCCGACCAAATCCATTCACACTATCTGAATTGATATGGATCCATTTGATGCTGAACGCAAAACTACCAGACTATAATAGACCCCATGATTTTAAGATGAGATGGGAAAATGATTCAGTTATTCTAAGAAATTTCCAAGGTATGCACTGACGCTCTGTACAAATTAGTCCCACTAATTCTCAATATTATAATACATAACATTCGGTGCTTTAAAGCACCCCCATGCAAAACATATTATAAATAATTATTTATAATGTTTTGCATGGGAGTCAAATGAGTCGTGGATCGCTAAGATACAAACGTCACTGACTGTGTATTTCACCATATCCAGCGTACATACCACGTAAATCTTACAACAGATGTATCGTTCACTCTGGGAGGTTTTTATCTAACTTGAATATACGCATATGTGCTGAGGAGTAGTATGAGAGTCTGGAAAAGAAAAGAGCTTACTGGTAAGCACTTACGTTCAATAATGAAAATGACTGACAATAATTAATGATAACTCAAACGTTAGCTTGACATAATCTGATATTCAAGACTAGACGTTAATAGTGTACAATGGCAAGGTAAAAACGGTAATCCCTTTCAAATCTGTCCGCCGTTTCGTTTCAACGACCTTGAACGCGCTGACTGGAAGCGGGCATTCCGTATTTCAATTGCCGTGTGTGTGTTGGGTCCTATGAGTATTAAATGTTTCCATATATAAGTCATCTTTTGATGCATAATAAACACTAAATAACTGCTAAGAGCATTAACTGAGTATTTTCTGTATTGTAGTGCACACTTTAACTCTGTTGTTCCTTCGAAACTTGATCTGTGGTCCTAAGTGCTGTAGTGAAAGTCAACAGCTATACATAATTTGTTGATAAGGTCCAGAAAACAACGTAAGAAAGATAAAATAACGTAAAAGGTTGTAGATGCGCCTAGTTTTTGTGAGTTAAGACGAAATGTCAACTGAAGGGTAAGTCCTAAATATTTGTTGTTCTTCCTTCAGTTAATTTTTTTCAAGGAATAACCTTTTTTTAATAACTATTGTATGTTGTCTCTAGTGCTTCATGCTCAAGTGAAATTTCAGTGAACGTAAGCGACGCGTTCCAACGTATTATGCTGAACAAGAGATTAGGAAGCTGGATTGAATTAGATAATGCGCTAAAGGATTTCCATAAAGTATGATAGGATAAATCTATGTTTTCTCAGATGACCCATACACACTATGTTCACGCAGAAAGTAGATTGTTGAAGGATGTGAGATATAAATACTTGTTCGTAGTGTTTCGTTGCACGTTTGGTCGTAAACGTAAATCAGAAGGTCTGAATGTGAATAAAAAACCGTGAGGACTCTAACTAATGTGTTACATTTAAGGTCTAAATTGCCAATCGATGTTTCGCGTAAGATTGGAGGGTCAACAATACGTTATAAAATCTTACAACATGTCACAACCATCCGTGTACTAGTTCGTGGATGGTTTGTGATCCGTTGAGTAGACGATTGTCATCAGAAGAAAAAGAATACTTGAAACCAGTTATATTGCACTGTCAGTCGACGGACGAAGTTATCGGAAGTATTAAGGAAAGAACAGGTAAGCAGGTGACCGCTGCTGATGTCAAAAATATGAAAGCTGAACTCTCCACTGGTAAGTGTATATAAATATATTTCAGGTTGGACTCGGAAGCAGGTATTGCAGATGATGCGACAAAACGGTGAAGTTAGAGAGCCTGCAGAAAATGGATGTATTACGGCGATATGCTTCAGCAGTTATGATCAGATACGGCTGTACAATCAATATCCCGAAGTCGTGTGTATTGATTCTACTTATAAAACTAATAATAAAAAGTGAATATGATTTTCGTTTTGTTCTACTATGTAGATATTCATCATTCCAGTTAGTGGTGACAGACAATTGGGGTCGAGGTCGAACTGTTATGTTTGCATGCACACAAAAAGAAAAGCGTGCCGATGTATTAACTTTGGGTAACAACACGAATAATCGTGCTGAGTCATTAAATAGGCAGATAAAAAGATATGTACGCAAAAGCGACAGCTTGCACAAATGCATGTACAAGGCTTTTAAGTGGAGTTCAATGACATTCTCTAGAAAAAGCATTGAAGACCAAATAATCAGTGGACGAACATACAATTATGATGCTCCACAGCGTCTTATACCCTTGCTGAACATGTTGACCCCATTCGCAAGATCCAAAGTGTTATACGAACTTTAAAAAATGCGTTTCGTTAACTTAGAATATGAAAGCGGCGAGTGGTTGTTTATGCTTGACCGCGGACAACATTA